CTCCCTCTCTTTAGCGGAACGGGGGCCCGGCTCGGCCCGGTGGGTGCCCTCGGGCGGGCGGACCCCGGCGCGGCCTGCGAGGCTTTCCGCCCCCGCTGACAGGTCGGTGCCGGGTCCATGACTGCAGTCAGCCCGAGCGAGCGTCCGAGCTGCACGGGGCCCAAGGCCGGCGGGCCGAGACAAGAGCCGCTTCCCTTCTGCCAGGCCGCCGCGCAGCCCGCTTCGTCTTGCAGCCCCGTGGCCCCGGCCGCGAGAGGGGCTGAGTGGGGGCCAGACCTCGCTGCGTGCCTTGGTCAGATCGCTCATCCCCGCGGCCAGGCCAAGGCGGGTGCCCGTGGCTGGGCAGGGACTGCACCTCTCTGCCAGCAGCTGGTGAAACTGCCTCTGCCAAAGAAACCTCCTCAGGTTCCAACCCGGCCTAAGCACCCCTGTATCTGCCTGGCTTGGGGTGCAGCTCACACAAGTCAGCTGTGAAGCGGGGGCGAATCACCTGCTTTCTGGGCGTTTCAGAGTTGCTAGTGTCAGTGATCTAGTGTCAGTGATCTTTAGTGTCTTGGCTTCAGTCTTCTCTTCAGCCTTGATTCTCATTTAAGCTCATGTCCTGCCAAACTGCACCTTTGCACTTCTTTTCTGTTCCAGCAAACTTTGTCAAGATGTGGGGGTGTTTCTTAACCACTAGCTTGTGTCTCTAGTTTGTAAAATAATCTCATTGTTGCTTCCGTTCAGGTGCTTATTTTATTTTTTTGCTCAGGCATCTTCAGTAGAACCACCTGGACAAAAACCCAAAGAGTATTACAGAATGAAAGGAAGTTCTGTTCAGGCCTGTGGGTTCCTTTTCCTATGTTATAGAAGAGTCCTTTTACTTGACCTCTGATTTCTGCAGACCCTAAGGAGTGGTATAATTTGCTGCTAAAGATGCTCTTGGAAATCTCTGCCTTTCAGTAATACTAAATTCTCACATGAATTCTGAAGGACATGAATTTGGCCTTTTTCTTCCCAGGTCTTTTAATTGAAGTTGGGAGTGCAAGGTTCATGCTGGCTTAGAATTTGGAATCATTGCATTGTTACAAGAGGTTTTGTTCATCCTTTCACAGAAGTTCTGGAAGGGGAACTGCAGCTGTTGTTGTGGGACCCAGAGGAAGGAAGAGCAGAATGATTTGTTTGTAGGTGGAGACTGATGTGGAAGGGTAGTTGCTGTTGGTTTGCTAGAGTATGGACTATAGAGTATTTAGTCATAAATGTATTTTTTGGACAAGTGCAAGATGCTTGAAAGACTCTTGTGGGCCCCTAACTGTTCTCTCTTGGCTCTAGAAATCCTTGAGCATTTTGCTGGGTAGCTGAGGAAGGGCAAGGCATAGGGAGTGACTTAGATGGTCAGCCTTAAGACTTCCACAGGATAAAGAGAGGGAGAACCCGGTGCTTGGCTCTTTTAGAAATGAACTTGAGTTAGGGTATTGATTGTTGTTATTGTTATTATTTTTAAAGGCAGGTTTCCTTTTTCTGAGCTTGACTCAAAATTAAGATGGTTCCTATTCTGTAGAGTTTACTATCTAAGTACTTATCCACACTGTGTTGCTGCCAAGGTGGAGTGTCCACCCACTTTCTCTCACTCAGCACATGCTAAATCCCAGAAATGAAGCAGTATACTGACTTAGAGTGGCCCTATGCATGTACCCCACTGCTACTGAGAGGCTGCAAACACTGAGCATGTATCTTGGGTGCACTCAGGACTGCTCTCCAGTAGCTAAGCTGTTTTTCTGGGATTTAGCTTGTGGGCAGGTCACGATTTTTTTTCTTGCATAGCTACAACCAGAGGTTGTGTAGACAGCCTAAAAGACAGGACAAAGAAAATGGGATTTCTGAAAGTCTAGAGGAAAAATTAATTCAGAGCTTGTTTCCTTCCTTGGGAAAGAAGGGAATCATCAGTTATGGTAGTACTCAAAATATGGGAATGTTATGCTAATTATACAGGGACAGTTGTTCTCCACCATCACCATGGAAGCATGTGGTTAAGGATGGGGAAAGGGATACACTAAAGCAGAAGAATGCAGATAGTTATAGAGGAATGGCTATCACAATTCTGGTCAGTTTCTTCTCTTGTACCCTCCCCCCCTTTAATTATTTGTTCCTTTAACATAACCTCTTCACTCAGCTCTCCCTTTCAAACTCCAAATCATCTTAGTAATTTTTATTATCAAATGCACTAAACAGTGCAAGGTTCAGAGAAGTGAGTCCTGAAGATATCACAGGTTGCAATATGTAAAATGACCTTTCAATGAGATTACGTTAAGAAACAAGATGCCTTTCTGCTGATGCTGTTTTTTTCAGTGATTTTGCCCTGTGGGAGTGGTGCACAAATAGCCAAGTCCTTTTTGAGAAATAGCTGCCAGTGAGGGAGGTGTGGTCCTATCCTTTGAGCCCTGCATTCACTAGAGTAGGATGTAAATTATGATCTTTCAGTTCCTTTCTCTTCTCTAGTTCATCCAGCCACAGAATAATTCTCTTTCCGTTTTTGTTTTTGTAAACAAAAACCTAATAGGTAAAATAAGTGTATGCTTAAAGTTATGTTTAGGCTTTTTACTTTTTCAAATACTTTACATTTATGGTTGGCCTGAGCATCTGTTTCAGCAAGGGCTCTCTGGAACTGACCAGAAAAGTATGACTGACTTTACATCATTACTGCCTCAAATTCTAAGAAGACTAATTTTTGTTTTAGGTAATTCAAGGGACACAACATTAATTGTTATTACCATTCCATCTCAGCTTCTGTGGCCTTGGTTAGTAGGGATAAAGACAAAAGCTTGAAAAAAGTGTCAGTCAGCCCTGGAAACAAGGAGTTATGAAACTTGATGTGGCTGACTGAAAGGCAAAGTTGTAATTTTCTGCAGTCTTGCCTTTGAAGGTTTTCAGCCTGGTTCACCTTGGTCAAAGGTCATTCTAGATGTTATAAAACAAAATAGGAAGTTCTCGCATCTAAATGCAGCCAAGAGATGGATGAACACTTTTGAGAGCCTCTTATAAATTCTCTGAAACAATAGTAGGTCATTGGCTACCACTGCCTCCTTCAGGAAGACCTGGTTAGTTCTGGAGTGTAAGTCTGGAGGTGGAAGCAGAGTAATGGAATTCCCCAGTGAGTGAATTGACATGCAGGCCTGAAATGGGAATATTGAAAGCAACAAAATTCACAGCCAGACTCTTTCTTTGAGGACCCTGTTCCTTGCTTTTCCTCTTCTGCCCAGATTTTGGCAAATGTTTTGTATTGTTTTTTTTTATCTCGGGTTTTTTCAGTCATGGAAGGCTATTTGTTTGCACTATTGCCTTTTGAGGATTAAGTTGGGAGTACTCCTTTTAGTTCAAGCTTGTAACAAAATATTATTGCATGTAGAGATCTAGCAAGTAGTTTGCATGTAGAGATCAGCTTGCCACTGCAAGCTGTGAAAATGACACCATAATCTTTTAGAGAGAATGGTTATAATTTAGCTATTTCCTTTTGTCTCAGCTAGGCAACTGGGAATAGTGGGACTAAATCATTTTCACTTCCTGGAAGAAATGGACAAAAGTTTTGTCTATACCAACACTTAAAACCATTTTTCATAACATTTGCATGGACTCGTTGATGCAGATCCCTGTGATTTTTTTTTATTTTTTTTTTCCCCTTCATTGTCTGTTGTACCAACTGGTTGTCTTTTGTCTTTCTGTCTACAGGCTTTGGCACTTGAGAAGTGCTGTATAAAGTAAAGAATTAGGATGAAAAATATTAATATGTTCAAAGTTAAGTAAACTACTTAACTAGGACATGTATGCTTTGCAGCGCTGGCCGCTTTTGAAAAGTGCCTGGTGCTATGACACATGCAGTTGTATAAGTGGCGAAATGCGCATCAGCGCTGAGAAAATGGTGGTAGCACACTTTTGAACTACAACACTTTGGAGGTGCTTTAGTTCAAAAGCGTAACAGCACTGACACGCATTTTCCTACTTACGCAACTGCACGCAGCGCAGTGCAGTTGCCTCAGCTTGTGTGCAGAGTAAACTCGATTAATTGAGTCTGCTCCAAAGCGGCGGATCTCCAGTGCGTTTCTGGAAAAAAAAAATGTGTATAAATGCCCTGAGTGGGCTGAGGGCTGGTTCCTTTATTAGGCTGTCTCACAAGAAACTGAATTAGCTTCATGATACTCAATAATGACTGCTTATTTGGTTGTGACAGTAGTAACGTATTAGCATCAGTTCTGCTTAATGAAGCTTTGTGTTGCAGGTGGGGAGTACTAAAGTCATGTTTAACTATGCGTAAGTGTGACAAAATAAGTTTTTAGTCTTTTAATACCAAAGTCGTTAAATGCAGATCAAGTGATACATTGTCCTCACTTCTGCCACTGAACAAAGTGTCTCTGCCCCAGAAATTAATATTCATGTTCCCTCGTCTCTTCTTCCCCATAGAACAATTTGTCAGTATGATCTTTGGATCATAAAATGAAAGGAATAAATGGAGCTCAAGTCCCAAAGGGGTAGAATTTGTTGTTTTCTTGATAAAACAATAAAAGTGTACTTAAAATAACATCATCATCTCCCCTTCCCCCCCCTCCCCTGCCCTCAGTCCCTGCTCAATGATCAGGCTATAATTTCCTAATTACCAGTCTCCCTTCACCACTCACTGTGGCCCACACAAACCAAAGGTCATGTTTGATGAAGAAGGCTTTGGTTCTTGCAAAAGGATTGAAGTAACTTTGCTTCAGATAAAAGTAACTTTGGTTTAGGCTTCAGTAGCAGATGGCCTCTTTGAGGCTCTGGTCATATGCTAAGGCTGTCATAGCCCATCAAGTCACTGACCTGCTGCTACTTAAATTTTAAAAAGCTTGAGTTAATTATTTTCTTTTACATATCACATTTAAGGGTTGGGGGAGACTAATGTTTTCTGTATGGACGTCAGTTCATTCATTTTGCAACTTCCTTGTATTACAAATAATATTTCATATAGAAAACAAAGAGTTTGCCAGTTGTCGTCGTAACGTCCTAATTAAGTTGCTTTTTTTTTTTTTTTATTAGATCAAGCATTCAAAATGTTACCATTTTATCTTTTTACTGTCCGGTAATAGACCCTAGTAGCCACAGGCATCTAAAATCTATACAGCAGTACAAGTAGTCTGACCATAATGGATGCGACTCAGTGGGCATAGTTTGGCTGCAGATGGTACATCCATATCTTCTCCAGGATATGGTGCATGTGTATCCCTAAACTCTGTATACAGAAGCTCTGTTTGGAACTATGGTTAATGTTTATAATCTTTTATGTGTGGTTTCTCTCCAGTCATCTTGTTCCCTTGTTGAACTTGGGCGCTCTGAGTTTAATGTATTAGCTACTATGACTGTCATAAGCTTTCTGTTAACTAGTGCAAAAGGTGCATTACACATGTTGGTTAATACATGTTAAAATCCTATCATAGATAAAATAGGTAGTTGTAGCTTATTATCTGTTTGAGGTAAATGTTAGGATTCCTGATTAAGGTTTATCTCAATCACCTGGTACCTCTCTGTATCTGTCTGTCTTGTTTATCCTAATATTTAACTTTTGCTTTTTTCCCCTGTGATGGGCAGGGCCAAAGTTGCAGAATTTTTTTAACAAAGAAAGATGATTTGCCAGAGATTTGAGGATAGGAATACAGGGTTGTTGATTTATCTGAAATTTGAATAGTTTGGCATGTTTTCTTATGCTTTTATGTAACTTTGACTTTGTGAATCTCCTGGCCTTTGTACCTCTTTGTTTACTACAGCATGCAACGTTAACTATAGCTCTGTAAGTCTGGTCTATCTAGGCAGGTGATAAACCAATACCTCCATGTAAAATGAAACCATCCTCTACTGCCCATTGTCCAGATGCCGAGCAGGAAGTGGTCCACATGCTGCTCCCTCCAGAACAGGTGTATCTGAGTGCTACCTACTTGTTATGGGACATCTTATCCTTTTTTAAGATGGTAGATTGTTAATATCTACAAAAGTGAGGAATGAAGAGTGCATCCATTCCACAAATTTTCTTGGACAGCTCTACCCATGTGCCTCACTCCAGTTTCTGATGTCCCTGTCCCTTTCAGTTTCTGGTCTTTACATGCACATATTAGTAAACCTCTTAGCATATGGTACCTTTCACTTCACTCTCGGGTTCCACTTGAGAATTTGACATTTTAAATTTATTCTTTTTCAAATCCATTATAAATACGTTAGGCTTATAGACTAGCTGCACTTCTATTTGTGACCCCATTCTAGATTTTCTTCAGGCACCTTACGAACCAACCCTTCGAATTCTAAGGTGGGGCCTCGCTAATATTGAAGAAGCATGATCTAATAGAACACTAGGGCTGTGTGAAATTTTGGTAGCTGATTCAATTCGGAGGAGATTCAGCCCAATTTCGGGAACCGAATCTCTGAATTGAATCAGGAGACCAATTAAAAGCTCCAAATCAATTTGAAGCATCCAAATAGATTCAGAAAAGATTTGGCCGATTCGGAGATTCTGCCACACACTAAACAGGCAGCTCACAGCTGGTAAGTCTTTTGGGGTTGAGAGAGGGGCGAGGGAAGGGGCGTGGGGGAGGCAGGGATTGGTGCTGGGACAAGCTTCCCAGCTGGGGTGGACGGTGCATTACTCGGGAAGGGAGGCACGGGATATGGGCACGGCAGCACTGGGAGCGGGGGCTCTGCCCTGCTGCCACTTGCCCAGTCAGGGCAGGGTTGCGGGCACGGTTTGCTCCAGGTGGAATGGGGCAAGTGGCAGCAGGGCATAGCC